GTGGGAGGTGGGCAGTTTGCTCAGCCACTCAGGGTCTGCCTCAGACAAGCCACAGTTGATCACATGTCCTGTTCACCACCTGCCACAGCAGTAATGCATGTATCCAAATTCATTCTTGTTTTATTTTTTAAAACTCTGTCTTGTGGAAACTTCAAATGTACACAGAAGGAAGGAAAACAGTATAATGGCACCCCTTCCATGTATCCAACACCAACAGTTATCAGCTCTTAGCTAATTTACCTCATCTATTCCACCTTCTCCCACCTTTCATATTTTTTTCACCTTTTTTTTAATAGAATAGCACACATACTAAAAAGTGCTGGTGTCCTAAGTGTGTGGCAAGGTGAGTATTTACACTGTGAGCTCACCTAATTAAGATTCTGGTATCTAATTCTGACCTGTTGAGGGCTTCCCACACCACCAAGCAGTTCTCAGACACCTGCTGGGTGTTCCACAATTTAATCCATTTCTGACACTGTCTCCCTGGTGATAGCTCAGTCGCCACAGCTTCAGGGTTCAGTCCCACAAGGCTGCCCCCACTTCAGACACCAGTCCCAAGACCACATTACCACCTGTAACAGACTGGCACTAAATCAGAGGTTCCCACAACCTCCTCCTTGGGTTTGATTAATTTGCTAAGGCAGCTCTCAGGACTCGGGAAACCCATTTGCCCACTAGATTACTAGTTGATTACCAACGATATTACAGGATACAAACCAGCAGCCAGATGAAGAAATACACAGGACAAGGCCCCATACCCAGGAGCCTCTGTCCCTGTAGAGCCTGGGGTGCTGCAGGATGCCAAGTGGAAGTGGTCTGGCTCCCCAACGAGAAAGCTCTGAACCACATCCATCTGGGTTTTATGGAGGCTTCATTATGTAGACCTGATGGGTTAACTCAGCCATTGTTAACTGGTATGCCACAAAATTTTAGTAATTAGTTTATGTGTGCCATGAGATGAAAAAGGTTGAAAATTGCTGGATTAACTCATGGCCATTGGTGAACAAAATCTACTTTCAGCCCCTCTCCCCTTCCCTTACCCTTTTCAAGGGGTAGAACTGAAAGTTCCAACCCTCAGTTCGTTTGTTCCCCTGGCAACCAGCCCAGTCCTTAGGTGCTTTCCAAAAGTCACCTTGTCAACATAAACCCAGCTGTGGTGGAAAGGGGCTTGTTATATATGACAAGACATCCATTTCACCTTTGTGGCTGTAAGGGTTTTCAGGAACTGAAAACGAGACCATGTATTGTAACAAAAGATGTTCCCTTGCTCTTAACACTCCGGAAATTCCAAGAGTTTGCCAGTTTTGAGCTGAAATCATGGATGAAGACCAAATATATATGAGAAATATATTTTAGTCATCTGAATGATATAGATTTATGGAATATAGATTTCTTATAATTCACAAGCATACCTGAGTAACCAGTACCAAGATCAGGAGCCAGATGTTAGCAGCACCTGGAAGCCCGTGTGTCCCCTCTGTCCTGACTTCTAACAGGACAGATGGGGTCTGGTTTGCTAGCTGGTTACTAAGGCTGTGACATGAGGATGGCATAGGTGGGAGTAAGTGGAGTGGGTAGAGTTGGCAAATCTGAGTTTAAAAGGTGACTTGGCACTTATGCAGCCTGGATAACATCTGTCACTGCAATGGCAGATGTAGGAAGGGGGCACAGGATGGTCTCCTGAGATCAGCAAGGTTAGTTCCATGGCAGAAACCATTCCCTGAAATGTATGTGCTGACAGGGCCATGCAGCTAGTCTGCAAAATTACCATAAAGGCGATGTACCAAAAGACAGTTGTCTGACTGTGGGTTGTGTGTTCTTATTTGTCAAGCTCTCTGGTATAAAATCCAGTTTGGGGTGTCCAGGGATTAGATTCCCAAGTGTGTTTGCTCCTTGGCTCCTCCAGACTCTGGAAGCCCCACAAAGGCTTTAGTGATCAGCTGTGTGTAATTTAGCCCTGAAGTCCCTTTCCTTGCTTTGCAGAGTGGTAGGGCATTGCTGTGCATGCATGCCAGGTATTTTTCAATTTCTGTGAAAGTTTAAGAGTGCCTGATACAATCTAATTGTTCAGTTCCTTGACATTGAGCCTTGTTTCCTTTGTAAAGTGGTGTAATTGATTTTGGGGTACTTGAAAATTTTGGTGGCGGTGAGAATGGCACCATGTGTTAGACCAGTGGGTTCAGACCAGACCTCGGTTCAGCAAACTCAGTGCTTGAGTACTGACTAGGAAAGAATTCAGAGCCAGGACTCAAACTATAAGAGAAATTTTATTTTAGAAAGTCACAGAGGTAGAAGAAGTGACCAGTAGAAGAAATGGCCTCAGGAAACAAGTTACAGAGGCAAAGAAGAGGCCTTGGGAGCTTATGGGGGTGGGTGGGGGGGCATTTGCCTGGCTAGGGGTGGAGGAAACAGGAGTGTGTTCCTGGGACAGAGAGCATGCTGGGTCCTCCATCCTAAGAGCTTTTAAGGATGGGGATTTTAGGGGTGGTCCCAGTGGAGGATTTCAATAGAATATTCATCAGTTTTCCAGGTACAGCCTTTCAGGGCTGTGGTCTCCACTGATTGGTCGGTGCCAGGGCAGGGGATCATTAGTCAGTGCAGCTGGTCCTTTGGCAGCCATGGCATCACTTGTTTGGTTTTGTTGCTTTTCTGGGTCTGGAGCTGAAACATAACTGAGGCCTAGATGTTATCCTTAGGGAAGAAAGGTTAGGGGTCTAAACCGCATGACTAGCCATGTGAAAGGTCGGGGTCCAAACTTCAAGACCAGTGATATACTAGGAGAGGAAAGGTTGCCCTGGGGATGAGGTCTTTGTTTTCCCGGTTTTGCCTCTTGCTGGGCATCCAGGGCTTTCGGCCCTGGTGACCTTTTGTACCTGGCCCATTGTCCTTGCTTTGCTCATGTCTGTATAACTGCCTACCACAAAAATAGAGCTGGTAATGGGGAAATATACTGCAAACACCACCTGGGGCAGTGGTCCCTGACCTTTCTGGCACCAGGGACCTGTTTCATGGAAGACAACTTTTCCATGGATGGGGGAGGAGGGATGGTTTCAGGATGATTCAAGCTCATTACATTCAAGCCCACCTTTTGGTATGTGGCCCAGTTCCTAATGTTACAGAACACACACACACAGGGCCAAGGGGGGTATGATATACTATTACCGAAAGGAACCCCCACTAGGTTTGATTGTCCGCCACCTTAGGAAAGACGCCTTTTTTTCCTAATTTTATTTTAATCATTGTTCAAGTACAGTTTTCTGTCCTTTACTCCCATCCCAGCCCACCTACCCCTCCCTTCCACCTCCCTCCCATTTCCATCCCCAAAGGCATCTTTCAATGCCAGAGATTTGTGAAGAGGAAAGGAAATGTTTATTTAAAGCTATATAAACTTAAAGTAGTGACCTAATGTCTTCATTAAAATATCAAAGTCCTTTCAGATACCCACAGATGCCCACAGTGCTTCCTCCTTCCCCTGCCCTAATTTGGGGTACCGTATCTCAGGAAAAGAAGTAGATGTTCATGATTCCAGCCACGGGCACCATCAGCTCTGTTGCTTCAGGCAGGATCTCCAATTAATCCAAAGCCATGTGGCACCTTCTCATGGCCTACTGGCAAGAGTTCTTTGTACCCATTTTCCAGGCAAAGTTTCTATTGCTTTCCAGGCCACGTGGCCAAGGGAGCACCCCTAAGCCATGTGGTCTTCTTCCACCAAAGCTGCAGGGGTCCTCACTCTGGTCAAAACCACATGGTTCTTCTCGGCAAAGCTGCAGGGAGCAGGGTGGGGGGGTGTCACCACTCTGCTGAAGTCGAGTGGCGGTTCTCTGCTAAAGCCGTATGTCAATTCTCCCTCACATGGCTGTGGGAGTCCCCACTGTGGCCAAAAATGCATGCCTTTCCCTTCTATTGCCACAGCAGTGTGGTCCTCTCTCTCACATGGCTGCGGGGGGGTTCCCACTCTAGCCAAAGCTGAGTGGTTCTCCTTTCTATTGCCACAGCCGCATGGTTCTCTCCCTTAATGGCTGCCGCATGTGGGTTTAAATCCCCGCTCCAATCTTCCTCTGCAGCCCCATTTCCAACTCCTCCTACAATCGGTTACACATGCCAGCACTCCCATATCCTTCCAGCTTTACTGGGCTGCCATAGTGAGTCTGGGCAGGTATGGCCCCATGGCATGGAGCCAATCATCTCCAAGCTGTCACGCAGGTGCTGTAATCAGGGGGACCTGCCCCCCAGTTACATCTTGGGTGGAAGTTACTCCCATCCTCCTGGCTCAAAGCATGGCCACAGCTGTTTAGCATATCTATGAAACCAGTTGAAGGTTATAGATATGTTAAATGACCATGCCAGAGGTGAGCTGCAAAGCTGTGGCTGTACAAAACAGCTCTGCATGTTCCTGCTCCATGTGTCCCTTACCCCAACTCACACCTGTTGGGGGAAGGGGTGAGGACATCCTAATATTTCCTGAGCACCTTGAGTTCTGGACCCCATTCCAAATCCCTATTTGGGGCTCCCCTTTTGGCTACACCTTGTTACACTAACAGGCCTGGACCCGTACCAGTCCACAGCTTGGAGGTAGGGGCCCCTGATCTAGGGGATGTAGTGAGACCAGCAGCACAACCCTCCTTCCCTGTTTTATTCATTAAGTTTTTGCCTTGTAGAGTCCAGGCACATAGTTCTGGAGTCATAGCCCATGCCTCTGGGGTTATTCCCCAACTCTTGGAACATTCAGATCCTGGGCAAACAATTGCAGTCAAGGTGAGGGGGTGGGAAACAAACCTTAAGACTTCCAGGAGGAGGTGACTTTCAGGGTAGAAATCTGGATCAAAAGGAAGCAACATGGAACTCAGGCCTGGGCCTGAAGGTTGTCTGCCTGAGGCTGGAGAAGAGATTGGACACTGAGGTAGCTGGGTACCTCAAGATCTGCACATTTAACATCCTAGTGTGGGTTTCCAGGGGCAGAGAGTACCAGCGTTGTAAACATGTGTTCTCTCTCATTGCAGGTCTGAAAGAGAAAGCTCCCACAGCATCAGGTATGTGTCACCAGCCTCTGTTACTGCATCTGTGTCCTGGGCTTCAAAGAAAATGTTATCTGTGGAAGTGGTGTTCTTGTGTCACAAGGGAAAGAATTTCCTGAGACCTGCACAGGATGATGGGGTTCTGTAGTAATCTTTATTGATAATGTAAAATTAAGGGGATTCTCCTCCTGATTTCTCAGTGTCCCATCTTCATCCATCTTGCCATGGAAAAGGTCCAGTCTTGTCTTCAGTAGGACCAGAATAAAGGTCACTGTCCTGAGTTTCTGCTCTGTATTGAAGTCCAGTCCAGTCCAGTATCTGGCCAGCTGTGCCTGTGTTTCCACTGCAGTCTTCATCTTGGAGCCTGCATGTGGAGTCTACTTGACCATTGTCCATACAGATGCTTAGGTCACATGACTATGGAAAGAGAATATGTGAATGAATGGGGCAAGTGTGGGTTCCCAGGAGAGGGAGGGAGAGAGACAGAGAGAAAGAGAGAGAGATTCTTTGTTTTTCTGGGACTAAATTAGCTTGGTTTTGGGATGGACCAAGTGGTTTTTCAACATGACCAATCAATTTCTCAGGCTTTCATGGGCTTTTGATAGGTCCATCTTCCAACCAATTCCTTCTTTTCCCAGGCTGGACTGATGGCCTCTTTGGTCAAGCGCCTCCCCCTGTGCCATTTTGACTTCTGTTGCACCTGTGCCTGTTGTCCCCTGGTTTTACCTGGTCATCTGGTACCAGAGCAAGAATGGGAGGAGTGTTAATCCCCTTGGCTGAGCCATGCTGTGATCTCCTGGAGTGTGATGCAGCTTCCTGGTGAAGCAACATGCTCATGCTCCCCACTGTATTAAACTCCATGTTTAATTCTCTTTGCTCCCCTTTCCATTATTAAAACCTAGCTAAATGCTGACAGTAACACAACCATGTGCTTTGATTTCTGACAGGTTCTTGCCAGCTTGGTGATTGTTCCTTTCTATTGGAGTGGGTTGTGGCCTGGGTTCCTAGGCTGTGACCCATCCAGGATCAGAAGGGTTTTTTTTTTAGCTCAGATAGCTTCTGGGGCCAGACAGGGCAGGATGGGGGCAAGTCTTTTGGATGTTTGGTGGAAATACAGGCTTCCAGCCAGGTCCGTCCCTTGAATGGTGCTGGGAGATGTGTGTGGGGTGAATGAATCCATGGAGTGTCAAGGTTTCAGCCCTGAAGAGAGTTTGAGTGCCATGCCCCACCCCTTCACCCACACTCTCACCTCAGCATTCTGTGTGGTAGGTTGTCAGAAAAGTGTGTTTGTAAGAGGGGCAATGTTGGAACTCAGCCCTGAAGAAGGTGAATGATTCTCCTCATAGGAGAAGTGTGGGAAAGACATATCAGTGGGGAGAACCATGTGTGCTTGGACCTGTGTGGCTTTGGAACACTGAGAGGCTGGTATGCAAAGATGAACATATGTTTGCGGCTCAGGCCAAATAGTTTCAGCAGAACTCATGCAGATGAGGAGCTGGGCAAAGGAAAAAAAAAAGCTAGTGTAGGTTCAAGCAGAGAAGGCTGAATTTAAGTTCTAGTCTACTTCCCGGTGTGGATTTTTGGTGGGAACTGGTAAAACCATCACTAGAACTTTAAGATGCTCTTGTCAGGGCTTGACCACACACCTCTGTCCTGTGCTGGACTTTGCGTTTCAACCCCAGGGAGCTGTCTCCATGGGTGTCAAGCCACAGTCACACATCTCATCCTGTGCCCATGAGCATGGGCACAGGGGCACACCATTCAGATCTGACTCCTGGAGGGACCCACACCCCCTCTCCATGCTTCAGCCTCTGGACAGTTGCAAAATTTGCTTTTCAGGGAAGTGTCCATGAGGTCTCAAGTGCTCTCCATGGCATCTCTCTTGCAAGTGCACTGGAGGCAGTATTCTACATTCACGTCCTACAGTGACCCTCTGCTTCTAACCCCAAGGATCCCTGTTGCCTATCCTGCTGTTGCTGCAGCTCATTGAGATCCCTCTACCTGGCACCTCTTACCTGTACAGCCCAGTCCTGTTCCATACCCCTGGGCACCTGCTGCTCCCACCAAACAATGCTGCTGGCCCTTCTAAAGGCATCTTTTGATTCCCCGCCTACCTCTGGCTTATGTGACTGCAGTTTCCCTGCCCCCTCCACTTAGCAAACTCAGCCTTTCTCAGAACCCACCTGAAGTTTGAAGGGGCTACAGCTGAGGTGCTGTTCCTCCTGCTTGCACTCTGCCCTTTAGTGCTTGCTTTTGATATCCAAGTTTATTGTGCTTTGTGTCTTAGTGACTTGAGCACTTATTTCCCTGGGGTGGAGAAAGTTACTCAGGATGAGGTGCCTGGGTCTCCGTCTACAGGTGGGACAGCACCAGCTAGGCACAGAGCAGACACCAACAGACCTTAGGGGAACGAATTCACCTTGATATAGTCAGGAGGCCCAGGCACGATGCTTTGCACAGAACAAACACAAATTAATGTTTGTTTACATGGATTCAGGACTCATAAATATTTTCAGGGCATAAATGAAAAGGAAAGAAAAAAGTGGACCATCCAGCTGCTCAGTGGAGAAACCAAACCCCTTCATCCCCTCCTTCTACAACAAAACCTCACCAAAAATAGTGGCCAGAGGGGCTGCATTTGGTGACTCAGAAAGACTGGATTTCAATAGCCTGACTAAATAAGGTATAATGGATGCCAAGAATTGATGATCTTTGCTAAATGTTATGGAAATGAACCCTGAGAGACCCTCCTGTACCCACCCTACCTGGATCCCTGTTGGGTGAGGGGATTTTTCTCTAGACCCAAATAATCCCAGCTGCCACCTTTCTAACTGGCCATTTCAGCTTCCCAGACACCTGGGAACTGTTTTGGCCAGGAGAAGCCTGTTAGAGAGTTTGTGTGTGCTGTTTCCCCCCAGATGAAACATTTGCAGTATCATAAGTATTCATTTTCCACAAATAAAATGACTCATTTTTACCATTTTGCCAAAATAGGACTTTGCTCCTTGTTCCCCAGAAGTATGTGTCTGCTTTCCACAGGGAGGCTCTGGAAGCCTCCAAGTTTGAATTGTCTAATGGTTTATTTAGGGGACGACCACAGGAAGAGAAGAGGTTTGCAGAGTTTGGAGTTTGAAAAAAGTGAAGACCTGTGTGAAGAGGGCCCAGAAAGAGTGCTGATATAGCACTCGAGATGCAAGGACTTTCTGCAGGGTAAAAGCATTATAATTTTTTTTCCTGGCTTTTATCAACCCCTTGAAAGGGACTCAGGTACATTCACTAATAGGAATAGGTACCATTTAATGAGCCTTCATTATGGATTGAGGCCTCAGTTCATCTGCATAACCAACTCTACCCCTTCAAGAGAGTTATTATGAGCCCCCTTTATTCAGCTCTGGGAAACTGAGTCCGAGAAATACAAACAGCTTCCCTAGAATAACACAACTGTTAAATACAGAGTTGGGACGTAGCACACAAGCCTTTCCAAGTCAAAATCTTCTGTGTTGAAATTAGACAGGGTCCGGCACAAAAAACACCCCTTTTTATTACAAAATCTTTTATTATAAGATCATAAGCATGCAATTCTGTGACATAACAATATCACACTCAAGCACACCATATGACATTTTAGGTAAAATGTTCAAATTGCTGTCCATCTTGTGCAAGACATTTACGTACCCTACCAACCATATTCAAGCAAGACTTACTTCTGCCAGACCCTGTAGATTTCCAGACCCCATTTTTATATCTGACTTCATAGGTCCAGGGTAGGACCCAGGGGCCTTAATTTTAAACAACGTTCTGCCTGATTCTAATAGGCAGCCTGAATATACAGCTGCTGCAGGCAGGCCTGTGTCGACTATGCTCATTTCACAAGTGTGAGTTGATTGACTCTCAGAAAAACAGCGAATGAAGTGGTTTCCCATTTGTCACCTCCCCCATGTGAGCTTCTAAAATATTGACTGGCATTTTTCCAAAGGCATCAGCAAATGGCTTAGGCTGGGAGCAGCCCATAAAACCCCAGAATTATCAATTTGGGGTACATGGGAGCTACTTCTGGAGAAGTTGTACTGTTACAAATGTCTCAATTGGAACCAAGATGTGTAAGTGAAATAATTAGTCAAAATTAATCCTTTTTCCGGTGAACATCTCCTCTCATTCTGCACCAAGGCAGGATAGCCTTTGTAATTAATTTGGCCTTTTCCCCAAAACCTAAAGTGAGAATGTACAATTTATTTTGTGCCCAAGAAAGTATAAAAATTGCCAAAGGTGGCAGACGAAGCTGGAACTGTTGTTTGCTATGCCAGATAGACAGCTGAACTCTCTTCCCTGAAGACAGAATGGGAGCTGGCTTCAAATCAGAGAGATGGGCTGGGAGTCTTCTCCTATGGCCATGTCTGGAGTTACTGGACTAAGGGCTGAGTGAGCAGACATTTCTTAGCACTGTGGAATGGGGTCACACCATTCTGAATTCAAATCCTTTCTCCTTGACTTGTCCTCTGTGTCACAATGGACCACTGAACTCTCTAATCCTCATATGTCACACTCATTCAACAGTCTTTATTAACATGTACTATATGCATGTTTTGGGACTAATCACTAAGGGCATGATGACCAATAAGATACAGTGAAAATGGGAGCAAAGATCTCAGCCCCTCATACCCAATGACCTATTAAAGGAGGCTGTAGATGGGATAGTGTGTGACATGTAATAGCATTCAATTAATGCCCACTTCCTTCTCTTTTCCTTTCTTATCCTTTCACCACAATCTGGAGACTCACCTCCTTGGAATCTTGAGCTAGGGTCAGAGACAAACTCATGTTTGAGCAGGAAGTGATAGCCCCAACTTGGAGAATACTATGTTTCCACTCTTCCATTCTCCCTTCTCCCCTAGGATTCTGTGTAAAATTTCGTGGGCTTTCTCTTCTTTTAGAGCCTGCCTTTTGCTTTTCTATCTCTTTGGCTCTCTGTACCACATCCTGAGCAATTTCTGCACAGTCATCTTTCAGTTCACTGATACTTCTTTCAGCTGTGTCCAGTCTGCTGTGTGGCTCATCCATTATGGGCTGAGGTTCTTGGATGGGGTCCATATGCGACCAGACTGATTCTGGAGGCACCACTGCTCCTGTTTTTAAACAGGAAGTAGAAACATCTTATGGAAGCCAGGTTGATGTCACTGGGCAAGAAAGAACCCATCTGTATGGATATTTTAGAAAAATCCTTGGTGACTTGGCCAGAGATATTTGGGGTTATTGGGGCAATACTAGCCTCATAGAATGAGTTAGGAAGTATCCTTTCTGCTGCATTTTTTGAGAGAATTTGAGGATTGCTTTTAGTTCTTCTTTAAATGTTTGGTAGAATTCACCAGTAAAGCTACAGGTGCAGAGCTTGCTTATTTATTTATTTATTTATTTATTTATTTATTTATTTATTTATTTTTGTCAAGAGGGTTTTGATTACCGATGTAATCTTCTTATTAGTTATGAGTCTCTTGAATTTTCTTTTTCTTTGTGGTTAGTTTTGATAGGTTTTGTATTTCTAGAAATTTGTCCATTTTATCTAGTTTCCCCATTTTGTAGAGTATAATTAATTATTCATAGCTCTCTTTCATAATTCTTTTATTCTATATAGTTAGTAGTAATGTCGCACTTTCATTTCTTTTTTTAAATATCTTTTCATTTTTAAATTTCTTTTTTTCATTTCTTGGTTTTTATTGATGTTTGAATACAGTTGTCTCCATTTTCCCAGCACCACTTTTCCTACCCTTCTCTCCCCCACCACCCACCCTCAATTCTACCCCCCTTTGGCTTTGTCCATGGGTCCCTTATTCATGTTCACTTACAAATATTTCCCTTCTTTCCCATGATAGTTCACTCTCCCCTCCTCTCTGGTTACTGTCAGTTTGTTGTTAATTTCAGTGTCTCTGGTTATACTTTGCTTGCTTGTTTCTTTTGTTAATTATGTTCCACTTATAGGTGAGATCACATGACATTTGTCCTTCACTGCCTGGTGAAGCACAAATTTCACTTAACAGAATGCTCTCCAGATCCATCCATGCTGTCGCAAAGGGTAGGAGCTCCCTCTTTCTTTCTGCTGCGTAGTATTCCATCGTGTAAATGTACCTCAGTTTATTGATCCACTAATTTACTGATGTGCACTTAGGTTGCTTCCACCACATGGTTATTGTCAATTGTGCTGCTATGAACATTGGAGTGCATAGGTTCTTTTGGATTGTTGTTTCAGGGTTCTTAAGACAGAATTCCAGCAGTGAAATTGCCAGGTCAAAAGGCAGTTCCATTTTTAGTTTTCTGAGGAAATTCCATACTATTTTCCATAGTGGTTGCACCAGTCTGCAATCTCACCAACAGTGCATTAGGGTTCCCTTTTCTCCACAACCTCTCCAACACTGGTTGTTTGTTGCTTTGTTTATGATGGCCATTCTGAACGTTGTGAAGTGGCATCTCACTGTGGTTTTAATTTGCATCTGATGGCTAGTGATGCTGAGCATCTTTTCATATGTCTCTGGGCCCTCTGTATGTCCTCCTTGGAGAAGTGTCTGTTCAAGTCCTGTGCCCATTTTTTAATTGGATTGTTTGTCTTCCAGGTGTGGAGTTGTGTGAGTTCTTTCTGTATTTTGAAGATCAAATCTTTGTCTGAAGTATCATTGGCAAATATGTTTTCCCATATAGTTGGTTCTCTTTTCATTTTAAGACTGTTTTCTTTAGCCATGCAGAAGTTTTTTAATTTGATAAGGTCTCATTTGTGTATTCTTTCCTTTATGTCTCTTCCTCTAGGGGACATATCAGTGAAAATATTTCTGTGTGGAATATCTGAGGTTTTCCTGTCTGTGTTCCCCTGAAAAACTTTTATGGTGTCACAACTTATATTTAAGTCTTTTATCCACCTTGAATTTATTTTTGTGTATGATGTAAGTTGGTGGTCAAGTTTCATTTTTCTACATGTAGCTATCCAGCTCTCCCAACAACTTTGTTGAAGAGGCTATTTTTGTTCCATCTTATGCTCCTACCCCCTTTGTAAAATATTAATTGGCCATACAGACTTGGGTTTATTTCTGGGCTCTCTGTTCTGTTCCATTGGTCTATGTTTCTGTTCTTATGCCAGTACCAGGCTTTTTTTTTTTTTTTATTACAGTGGCCTTTTAATACAATTTGATATCAGGTATTGTGATTCCTCCTATTTTGTTTTTATTTCTCAAAATTGCCTCAGCTATTTGGGATCATTTATGTTTTTACATAAATTTTTGAAATGTTTGTCCTCTATATGTGAAATATACCATTGGTACTTTAATAGGTATTATGTTGAATCTATAAATTGCTTTGGGTAGTATGGACGTTTTGATGATGTTAATTCTTCTGATCCATGAACACAGTATATGTTTCCATTTATTTATGTCTTTCTTAAATGCTTTCTTCAGTGTTATATAGTTTTTGGAGTATAGATCTTTTACTTACTTGGTTAGGTTAATTCCTAGGTATTTTATTTTTCTTGTTGCTATATCAAATGGGATTTCTTTCCTGATTTCTGTTTCTGAGATTTCCTTGTTAGTGTACAAAAATGCCTTTGATTTCTGAATATTGACTTTGTATCCCTCTGCTTTGCCAAATTCATTTATTAGGTCAACCAGTTTTTTGTGGAGCCTATAGGATTTTCTGTGTATACTATCATGTCATCTGCAAACAATGACAGTTTTATTTCTTCTTTTCCAATTTGGATGCCTTTTATTTCCTTTTCTTGTTTGATTGCTGTGTCTAGGACTTCCAGTACTATGTTGAATAGAAATGGTGAAAGTGGACAATCTTGTCTTGTTCCTGATCTTAGTGGGAAAGCTCTAAGTTCTTGTCCATTGAGCATGATGTTGGCTGTAGGTCTCTCATATACGGCCTTTATTATGTTGAAGAATGCTCCCTCTATTCCCACTTTGCTGAGTGTTTTTATTATACGTGGGTGCTGTACCTTATCAAATGCTTTTTTCGCATCTATTGATCATGTGATTTTTGTGTTTTCTTTTGTTTATGTGATATCTTACATTTATTGATTTGCAGCTATTGTACCATCCTTGCATTCTGGAATGAATCTCACTTAATCATGGTGTGTGAACTTTTTAATGTATTGCTGGATGTGGTTTGCCAATATTTTGTTGAGGAGTTTAGCATCTATGTTCATCAGCAGTATTGGCCTGAAGTTTT